CCTGTTAGCTGAGTTAGGAACATGGTGAGCTTTTATTTGCATTTCCAGAATTCTGTCAAATGTGAAAAGGTGATTTCTTCTGTAACGCAAGCAATGTCTTCCTGCTTCTAGTGGATCCATAGATGGAAATAACCAGCTTGTAATCAAGGGACGCTTTCAACAGAAACAAATAGAGAACGTCTTGAGAAGATATATAAGTAAGTCAAATATTATAATGTATCATCTTGCCCTCATTTGCGAATGAGTCACGACACATACATCTTCCCATGTGATTTGTGCATTTGTAATCTTGATTATTGCACTAATTGTGCAGCCCTAGTTTCATGTAAAAAAAAAAGTAGTGACCTCTTTTCTAATGTAGTACATGTGGTAGTGTTTAGTTCAGTCCACTCACTTTTTTTGGTTTACTGGTGAAAAACTCAGCATTTACTGTTTATAATACAAATTTTTGACAAGGCATTTTTTCTTTGCATTTCACAGAGGAATATGTGACTTGTCACACCTGCCGCTCACCGGATACAATTCTGCAGAAGGACACACGTCTCTACTTCCTGCAGTGTGAAACCTGTCACTCACGTTGCTCTGTAGCCAGCATCAAGACCGGCTTCCAGGCCGTCACCGGCAAAAGAGCCCAGCTTCGAGCCAAAGCCAACTAATTCAAGCTCCCTGTTCTGGCCTCTTTCCCAGGCTGATGCTCTGCCCCTCTGGCTGACGACTGTCCTCGCTGCTCTCCTCTGAAGTGCAGTGACCCAAGGCTTGGCGTGAACTCTGGAGGGTTTTGAGTGTAATCTCTATTAATAAATCTGACTCTGAAGCTAGAGGGCTTGCGAACAGGCTGCCTCTGATTTGCTTGTCTTACTTTACCCCCTTCCTCCAGAAATATTATATTTTTTGTGCATTTAGCATATCTGATAATCATAGCATATTTCTGTCTATTTGGTGAATGTTTACTCTGAGCAGTATTTGTTTTTCAGCGAAAAAGGTAATATTACTGGATGGAAACCAGAAATAGGCAAACATCTTCTTCCATGCTTTTGGAAAATGAAACACAGCCTTTTATATTGGACTTTGTTTTATCAAAATAAAACTGAATCTCCAAATCTCAAAATATGTTTAAATGGGACAGTCATTTCACAATATTCAGATTGGATCCCAGCGAGTGTTTGGTGATCCAGACGTCCAGCAGAAGTGTGACTTTGAATCTCTTCTGAACTCTAGAATACAAGATCACTGTTCTTATGTAATTCCACAGACAAATACAGATTGCGCTGTTTTCTTCAGTAGAACGTTGAGCAGCAGAGGTTTGGGCATGTTTGCAGTGCTTAGATGGAAATGAACGATTTTTGTTGGCATGTTTGAAATTAGAATTTTTTTTTTTTTTATAAAAATTATGAAAGTTTTCAGTTTTGTGCACTTGTTTCTTGCTTATTGATGCATGCAAATGTTTGGGTCTAGGATTTTTATTAGCAGCAGGGGCACATTAAATAGATCAAATGTGACAGTAAAGACATTTATAATGTTACAAACGATTTCTATTTCAATAAATGTTGTTCTTTTAAACTTCCTGTTTATCAAAGAATCCTGAAAAAAATCGCAGTTTCCACAAAAATATTAAGCATTGATAATAATAATTAATCGATCCTGAGCAGCAAATCAGCATACTAGAATGTTTTCTGATTTCTGATAGATCATGTGACATTGAAGACTGGAGTAATGATGCTGAAAATACAGCCTTGCATCAGAAGAATAAATTACATTAAAATAGAAAACAATTATTTTAAATTGTAATATATTTTTTGAGCCTTGATGAGCATACAAGTTCTTTGTTCTTTTAAAAACATGTAGAAATATATGTATTATTGACCCCAAACCTTTGATCATTCAAAAGATCGTCCTCTTAGTGAGGCTGGTGTAGCTTCTTCTGTCTAATGAGTAATATCTAATTCTGTAAACTTTTGTTTTTCTATTAAAAATGATTGCTAGTATTTATTTATTTATTTTTAGACAGTACTTCTGTGGCCTTCCTTATGTCGAAGATGTTTTGTTATAATGCCAGTAGATCGGAGATGTCTTGAAATAGCATTAGGTGTATTACTCTACTGTCTGTTTTCTCCTTACCCAAAGTAAAGCTGCCACACCTTACCTCACTCTCATAAATGTGGTTTCCTGATTTTAAAGCTGGTCTCTCAGCCCCAACGGCTGACAACTTTTGGCCTATGCTTTATTGCTGCAGGAAATGTGTCACTTATACCTGCAGACAGTGGCATTTGTAAATAAACATAATGATAATCAAGTTAAAAAGAACACAAATGTTAATATGAATATTTTAATCTGTTAATATGAACCATTGTACTTTTTCACGTCCCCTCTGTGTACTACAAATGTGCTTAACTAGTTATTGTTTTAATGAGTCAGTCAGTATTTTCTAAACGGGTTATTCATGGTATCAAATATATGTTACATAAGAGAAAAACTTTCTGAAAGTGGGAACGGTTTGCAGGAAGCGGAAGTGTCACTGCAAGCGGAAGAGGTTTAGCCCAGAACAACCGAAGAGCGACGCGGAGGACGGGGACCCAATTTGTGTCTTTTTAACGATTAAAGTCAGAGCAAACGCCGTTTATAACGTGAGTGTAATTCCCTTATTGATTCTATGACTCTCCATGTGTCTTACATGACATGCTTTGATTGCGAAAACGATCTTGTGCTCCGTTCTCGCGGCCAGCGGAGGGATTTAGCAGGTTGCTAAGCTCTTCAGGCCTCAGTGTCTGTCAGACGCGATGAATCGTTACAATGAAATATCCGAACCCACTGCCAGCATTTTGTGTTAGATCATAGTATAACGTTAGCAGTATTGTTTAGAAGGTTGACAATCGTTACATATTGTCGGAGAATTCCGTCCTTTCAGTGGAAGGATGTGTGGTTAGCGCGCTAGCTCACATCAGCGGAGCCTGACAGTGCAATCGAATCGGTTTGCTGAAATTCACGACTTAGAAAAGGACAAATTATGAAAGCCGATTATTTTAGCAATGGCCTGAATGCTCGATTTGTTTTTAGTAAAATACGTTTTCATCTACTATTTAGTCGCTGTTCTCACCCTAAATTCTCTGTAGGCAGGCCTTGTTAAATGTGAATGTGACAAGTGAGTGTTACTGTTAAACATGATGCCATAATGTTCACTTTCTCATCACTTTCTTATCAATGCGATCATAAACCTATTAGGGCTGTGTTTTGTCACATTTTATTAATCGTTTCCAATTCACAAGCTTTCGATTCACATTATTCGGTCCGTTTTCGAATCATTTGGATATGTAGGTACAGTACATGTCAGGTTTTCTTAGGGAAAAATATCTCAAATAATGGCATAAAATATACAGGGAACCCTCTCAGTTGGTACATTGATATTAAAGTGTGCAAACTATTAAAATCAATTGCTATTTATGTTTAGACATCATAATCAGAACTAGCCCTTTGTCCACTGTAGAGGATATTACATTTTAATGAATTTCTCTGAGACTCTACATGCCACAGTTTTATATCAAATAAATATCAAATGTTTGGAGGTTTGATCATAAACAGTCCCTCTCCTTGGTCTTTAAAAATGACTGATACTGACAGTATGATCAAATTTAGCACTCTTAGGGAAATATAATGTTTTGTAATTATTTAATTCTGACTACATTTTCAAATTGTTTGTCGTATAAAAAAAAACAACTCTGAAAAAGATGTGGTTTCAAATCGGAATATGACTTATTGTTATGAAACAGGGCATCATTTTCATGCATGTCTTCTGTAGAGGACACCAGGACAAACATCGTGTTAATCAGGCAATTTGGGGTCAATAGGGAAAGAAATTATAGATCGATATTCTTATGAAAATGTTGCCAAGCTATTACTCCCATTATTACACTTTTTTTTTCATTATGGTTTGCCCCAAGAACACATTAATATGCAAATTAGATCCAGTGTATCGAGACATTGTATAGAATGGGAATGCCAATTAAAGGACATTTTACGCACATATTCCATAAAGTACAGTAGTATAACAAATCATTCTGTTATATCTTTCATAACATAGTTGAGAATCATCTTTGTACAGAGTTTGGTTAAAAATAGTTTGAAACCTGAAAACTGTTTGGTCAATTAAAAAAATAAATCATTGTTTTTGCTATTCATGACTTTTCATGTCTATTAATTTTTTTGAATAACTTAGTCCTGGCGTACTCTACAAAGGATATAGAATAAAGTATCTTTTTTTCAAAAATGTTTTTTCTACATTTGTTTCTTATGCTCCAACCAGTGTAATGACATAAAAAAAAAAAAATTCACAAAACTTTTTTTCATGGTTCTCAGGAGGATATAGTTATATTTGTAGTCTATTATTTATTTATTTATTTTTTAAAAAATATAAATATTTAGGCTAAACGTGGCTGTCATAACTTTTTTTACATGACAGATTTATTCAAACATAAATTAAAGGGGTCATATGATGTTGCTAAAAAGAACATTATTTTGTGTATTTGGTGTAATGAAATGTGTTTATGCGGTTTAAAGTAAAAAAAAAAAAAAGTTTTTCCACATACTGTACATTATTGTTTCTCCTCTATGCCCCGCCTTTTTGAAACGTGTCGATTTTTACAAAGCTCATCGGTCTGAAAA